CAGTTCTGAGATACATAAACAGAGGGATAGAATCAAGATCACGTGAAGTGTTAATACCACTTTATAATGCCTTGGTAAGGCCATACTTGGAATTCTGCATTCAGTTTTGCTCACCACGATGTAGAAAAGATGTGGAAACTCTAGAAAGAGTGCAGAGAAGAGCAACAAAGATGATTAGGGGACTGGAGGCTAAAAGATATGAAGAACGGTTGCAGGAACTGGGTATGTTTAGTTTAATGAAAAGAAGGACTAGGGGAAACATGATAGCAGTGTTCCAATATCTCAGGGGTTGCCACAAAGAAGAGGGAGTCAAGCTGTTTTCCAAATCACCTGAGGGCAGGACAAGAAGGAATGGGTGGAAACTAATCAAGGAGAGAAGCAACTTAGAACTGAGGAGAAATTTTCTGACAGCTAGAACAGTTAATCAATGGAACAGCTTCCCTCCAGAAGTTGTGAATGCCCCAACACTGGAAGTCTTTAAGAAGATGTTGGATAGCCATTTGTCTGGAGTGGGGGTTGGACTAGAAGACCTCCAATGTCCCTTCCAACTCTGCTATTTTATTGTATAAGACGCACCCAGATTTTTACCCTCTTTTTTGAGGGAAAAAGGTGCGTCTTATACTCCAAAAAATACGGTAGTTACTTTGTATTTTAATTTATTTTCTTTCTTTTAAAACGATGTTCAGGTTTATTAGTTTTTCACATTCCTAAACTGATAAACAAGCTGGAGACTAGCTCCAGATAAGAAAAAGTTCGTTAGTACAAATTGGGGTCTGGTTTATCTCTTTTGTGAACTCTAAACAACTTTTTTATTTACAATTTTCGCCCCTTCTGACTTTAGACCTCCTTTTAATTAACTTGGGTGATCTTATGGGATGCAAATATGTAACGTGTTTGACTACCTGTAGCTGAATCACTGCGGTTGTTAAGTTAGGAACACGGTTGTTAAGAGAATCTGGCATCCCCAATGAGTTCGCTTGTCAGAAAGTCGCCAGAGGGGATCATATGGTCTCGGAACACTGCAACCGTCATAAATATGAACCAGTTGCTAATTGTCTGCATTTTGATCAAATGACCATAGGGAAGCTGCAATGGTAGTTCAGTGTGAAAAAGAGTCATAAGTCACTTTTTTCAGGGCTGCCGTAACTTGGAAAGTTCATTAAACAAAAGGTTGTAAGTCAAGAAATACCTGTAATGTAGAAATGCCCCTTGTCAGAAAGCAAAGTCCTATTTCAATGGCCTGTTGGCATTGGATAAAGCCAGCCTGCTTCTCTGCTCTAGTTACTGCACACTTTCAGCATGTAACAACTCTACACCTGACGACTGAAAACAGAGAGGATGAACTGGCTGTATTGTAAAGCATCATGCATAAGCTTACACGCCATTATTAGTATGTTCACCTTGATGGTTTATTCATACATCAAATCTTGGCTCAAGCGAATCCATGTGTTCTGACCTGGGCTTCCCCAAAAAGCACGAGGCAGAGTCCTGGTCCCAACGAAACTCCTTTCATTAAACGAATGTGAATTCCTCTCATTCACACTCAGCAAAGGCCTGGCAAACAGTCTTTCAAAGGAGTATTTATGACTACAGACCTTATCTGTCTTAGAAAGCTGCCATGTAAATATTTTCCAAAGGAAGTGCAAGGAAAGACTGGGCACAGAGTCTCTGAGATTCATAGACAGATCTTCACACTCCTGAAATGAGTCTGACTGAGCGAACGAATTGTTTCCTGCAAAAGCCCACTCCCCTTTCGCTCCTCTTTTATTTCCTGTGGGAGGGGCCAGTCACCTTCCACCTGTAGCTTTACTCCCAAGTCGACCCAGATTTCTGAGTTTTTCTTTTGGCAGCTCTGCGCATGCGCACACTGGGAACAGGCTCCAGCTGTTCCTCTGCCTCATTGCTCTCTAGCTCCATAGGCACCTGATCACTGCCAGACGGCCTCGGCCCCGTCTCTACCTCTGATGCAGAGTCCTCGTCCGAGCCTTCCCCAGCCTCCAGGTCTAGCCCATGCTCCTCCCCAACCTCCTCACTGTCCGACTCTTCTGCCAGCTCCACTGGCAGGCCATAACACCATGGTCATATGAACAAGCTTTGTCTCTACTGGATCAGTTCTGGTCTGGGTGTGTCTGATCCTTCCCTAATTTTGGTGCTTCTTAAGGAACCATTTATGACTTAGACTTGATGGAAAGAGCCCTGAGATCCACTTGTTAATAGAACAAGGATCTGCCTTCCTTATTCTCTCCTAGGGAACTGGATTATGCCATGCTGCGCCGACTGGAGAAGAGGATTCTGGTTGACCTCCCAAATCAAGAGGCCCGGCAAACCATGATCCAGCATTGGCTTCCCCCAGTGAGCAACAGTGGAGGAGTGGAGCTGAGGACGGAACTGGATTATAATTTGCTCAGCCAGGTGAGGAAGAAACCCACCCAGGTTATCCAGGGTCCTTATGAATGACCTTTGTAGAGGAGTCAAGGAATCTATAGAGCAGAGTTTCTCAACTTTGGCCACTTTAAGATGTGTGGACAGCCAGCTGGAGAATTCTGGGAGTTGAAGTTGCCAGAGTGATTACTATTTTGAGACAACCCAGGAGCAAAATATAGTACACAGAGGTTTTTTCCTTCAAACAGTGGTTTATATACAAGACTTATATGTACACCTACATACATGTGTTAGGCAAATATCAGGCAATATCAATCAATCAATCTTCAACTCTACACGGGGAACCACAATGCAGATAGAATACGAGGAGAGAGAGAGAGAGAGAGAGAGACGTCCTCACATGGCCTCCCTTATATATACAGCTTCTTAAAGTGGCAGTAACCCTGCTGACACATCCTCATATCAACATCTCGGTTTACAGCCTTACAGCAGCTGGTCAGCTATTAAATCATCATTACCTGGACAGAAGTCCACATATCTTTCTCTATATCTCTATTTCTATCTATCTCTACCACATGTTCTTCATCTTCTCATCTTTCCTATTGTCTTGTCCTATTGGTATCTTATGATATGTTACGTGATGTTTTTGTCGTATGATTTAGAATATATGACTTATTACCATATTTCCTTAAAAACATGACCCACCCCGAAAAGAAGCCCTTTCATGTTTTTTTTGAACGCATGCACTCAAATTAAGCCCTACCCCCCAAATTAGCCCTAATTGAGACCCTGCCCACCACAGGATGCAGGGGGTGGGGTGGGGCGAGGTACAATTTAAGCTAGGGTGCGGGTGGTGGGATGGAGCTTCCCTACTTGCCAGGTGTCGCACATCTTGACACCTGCATCTCCTTCTTCTGCGGCCCAGTTCTTCTGCGGTTGCTTGCCGTCGTTTGCATGCATCGCCTCCATTTCACCGTCAGAGCCTTTTGGAAAGACCTCTGCAGCTGAGAAGTGGGCTTTGGATTGACGATCCCCTAGCCCTCTGGCTTCCGTTTCGCCTTCTGGAAAGTCCTCTGCAGCCGATAACAGGGCTCCGGATCAATCCTGCGGAGGGCTTTCTGGAAGGCATTTGTAGCCGATAAAAGAGCTCCTGATCCCACCCCATCCCACCCCACTCTTCCATTCCATTCCCACATATCCGTGATGGCAAACCTATGTGGCACATAGAACCATGGCGCCTGTCATGTGCAGCATCCTCAGTTCCTCTTCTGGGTTTCTGGCGAGCATGTGCACAAAAACAATCAGCTGGCCTCCCTTTTTGCGGCAAATGCCAGAAACTGGAAGAGCTGGTCTTCCATTTTCTGGTGTGAGCATGCAAACCAGCTAGCTGATCGTCGTGCACCCATGCATGCCAGTAACCAAAAGACTAGCTGCCTGGTGCGCATGTGCTGGAAGTCCATTTTTGGTGCGCATGTGCCCCCTGGGCAGTTTGTCTTCTAGGTTGCGTCCCAGATGAGTGCCTGTGCGTGCGCATGCACTCCCTTTTTAGCACTCTGTGCCCAAAAGGTTTGCCATCACTGCCATATATAAAGATAACCAGGCCACCAAAGAATACGCTGGCTGGACTCCATCAAAGCTGACACCAGTCAGAACATAGACCAGTGACTGTGAATCTTTTTGGCACCGGGTGCCAAAAACAGAACACGCTCATGCGCCGGAGCCCAGAAACCTGAAGGCCAGCTGGCTGGTGTGCATGCATGTGCTGGTCAGCTCGTCTTCCAGTTTCTGATGCGCGCATGCACGCCAGCCAGCTAGTCTTCTGGTTTCCTGTGTGCGCATAGGTGCTGGCCTGGTTCTTCGCATGCGCCAGAAACGGAAAGACCAACTGGCTGGCGTCTGCATGTGCTCTGGTCAGTTGGCCTTTGGATTTCTGGTGCTCTGGCGCACGCCAAGACGGGGCCATTTTTTTCTTGTCCTCCCCCCGCAGCCTCCAGGAGCATTCTACAAGCCTCCCAAAGCCTATGCATGCCCTGGTTTTGGCAAAAAAACAGGCCCGTTTTTGTGAAAAATGTGCCATTTTTTCCTCGTTTTTGCCCCCTCCCCAGCCCCCAGGAGCATTTTGCAGGAATCTCAAACTCTCTGCATGCCCCGTTTTTCACAAAAAAATAAAATAAAAATGAGGCGTGCAGAGGGTTTGGGAGGTCTGCAGAGTGCAAACCCCCCCTTTAAAAAAAAAATTTAAGTCTTCAAAATCCTGGTGCATCTTATACTCTGAAAAATATGGTAATTAATTGCAGACTCCTGAGAAAAAGAATGCAGGGCTTGCCTTCTTTGAGATCTTCCTGAAGCCATCTAGAAGCACTTTCAGCCGAGTTGGGACATGGGGTAGGATAGGCCACCGGTCTGATCCCTGTAGATCTTGTAATGTTATCTTGATGCTCTTCTGGTGGCAAATGAACTCATCACCAATCTCTTGTCCATCATAATATAATCCGTAGGACCAGTGGTGAAACTCATTTTTTTACTACCGGTTCTGTGGGCGTGGCTTGGTGGGCGTGGGCGTGGCTTGGTGGGTGTGGCTTGGTGGGCATGGCGGGAGAATGATACTGCAAAATCCCCATTCCCACCCCCACTCTGGGGCCAGCCAGAGGTGGCATTTGCTGGTTCTCTGAACTACTCAAAATTTCCACTACTGGTTCTCCAGAACCTGCTGGATTTCACCCCTACATAGAACTGGTTCCGTGTGCTCAGGGGACCTTTTGGGTTGTGTCAAAAGTGGCCCGATGTAGAAACCATCCCCATAGCCCGTCTTCCTCTCCGTCCTTTAAATGCTAGCTTGAGAGCTACCTGCAATGGGAAACCTCTGTGGAGGTAAGCACACCTTTCTCTTCATTTTTGTGTATTAGGAGACGGAAGGCTACTCGGGATCTGACATTAAGTTGGTGTGCAAAGAGGCAGCCATGCGCCCTGTGAGAAAAATCTTCAGCGCTCTTGAAAATCACCAGCCAGGTATAGCAAAAATCCTCTTGCGTGTTCGAGCTGAACAGGTACTCAGTGTTGTGGCCCACCAGCAAAGCTGGTGACAGACTCAGACATTGAGGAGGTGGGGAGGAAGATGGGCCAGTCCTGGAGTCTGGGGAAGGCTCTGATGAGGGCTCTGTGTCAGAGGCAGAGAGGGGCCAGGGCCCTCCGACAGTTATCAGCTGCCTTCGGAGTCAGACATCAGTGAGGCAAACAGCTAGAGCCTGTTCCCAGTGTGCGCAGAGTTGCCAGACAAAGGGAACAGCTAAGGAACAGGGGTCGACTTGGGAGCAAGGCCACAGGTGGACAGTGAATGGCCCCTCTCACGGGGAATAAAGAGGAGCGAAAGGGGAGTGGAGTTTGCAGGAGACAAGTAGTTCATTTAATTAGTGTGAAAATTTGTTCGTGACTCTCAGAGACTCCTTTCCAATTATATATCTGGCAAAGATATCAGCCTGGCAGCTCTCCAAGCCTGATAAGGTCTGTGGTTGTAAATTCACCCTTGAAAGACTGTTTGCCGGGACTTTGCTGGATGTGAATGAGAGGAATCCACATTAGCTTAATAAAAAAGGGGTTTTGTCGGGACAAGGAGTCGCCTTCGTGATTTTGGGAAGCCTCGGTCAGAAGACTCAGGGTCGAGCAACCAGGGATGTCTTAGCTAGGTTAGCTAGGAAGCGTATAAAGGTAAATGATAAACTTATAAATCTGTACCAGCAGATGGCGGCATTCCATCTGTTTCCCGTTCAGATTTACTTAGGATTTGTCCACTCCTTTCCCATTTGGTCTCTCCTACAAAACTTCCCAATATCATACAGGTAGTCCTCAACTTACGACCACAGTTGAGGCCAAAATTTCTGTTGCTAAGTGAGACAATTGTTAAGTGAGTACCACCCCCACCCCCATTTTACAGCCTTCCCTGCCACAGTGGTTAAGTGAATCACTGCAGTTGTTAAGTGAGTAACACAGTTGTTAAATGAATTTGGCTTCCTCATTGACTTCGCTTGTTAGAAGGTCGTAAATGGGGATCACATGACCCCGGGACCCTGCAACCCTCATAAATACATGCCAGTTGCCCAATACCTGAATTTTAATCACATGAGGATGATGATGTAATGGTCGTAAGTGTGGAAAGACCGTCATAAGTCACTTTTTTTCAGTACTGTTGTAATTTTGAATGATCAGTAAATGAATTGTTGGAAGTCTAGGACTACCTGTTGAATCCTAAGGCCGGAAGGGACCTTGGAGGTCTTCTAGTCCAACCCTTTAGTCTGGTATTTGGGGCGAGGTTGGACTGCAATTACCCAAAACCTGCAGTAGGGACAATGGCCAGCACACATTGGAAGCTACCAATTTGGGGAATGAGATAGAAATAGAATGATAAGTGAGAATAAACTAGTAGGATAAACTGGAGGAACCAGAACAAGACTGAAGGTATGAAAGTGTCATTCGGAGGCATCCCTTCTGTTCAAAAACTTTAGCAACCGGTTCTCTGCCCAGTTGCTGGGTGGGCGGAGCCATGGTGCGCGTGGCCTACTCAGCCTCCTGCACCACGGCGGGGGGAGGGCGTTTTTACCCTCCCGACCTCCCCAAGCTCCAGAGGCTTTCCTTCAGCCTCCGGGAGGGCGAAAACGACTTCCCCTGGGCTCCGGAGGCCCTCTAGAGGCCAGAAACGGGCCCGGTTGCGGAACCTCCGGGAGGCCCATTTTTTTGACCTCCCACTTACTTGGCATCCAAAATAGGCCACGTGGAGACTCCTGGATGGGGAGGGACGAAGTGGCCAGGGCCAGCCGGTCCTTGCAACTACTGGTTTGGGGAACCAGAATGTAAAATTAGCATCCAGTTCACCCGAACTGGTGGGAACCAGCTGAATCCCATTCATGGTTACATGCCATTGAAGAGGAGATCTGTATAGTTCCCTGACCATTGGTGGACCGATTTTGGGGGGTTTTTTTGGCCAAAAGTTTTTTATTTTTTTTAACATATATATAATCCAAAGTATACCATTACATCTTAACAAACGTTTTTTGAATATTCAATAATAATTCCTCTTCAATTTTTATTTGGTCTTCTGCTTTCCATACACCCTATTAGTCTATTTCATCTTCAACCCTTCTCCTCTCTCTCTCTCTCTCT